TGTAGATTCAGACTTTGCTACAAGCTGGGAAGAGTAATCCCTCTTTTGGGGTTGCCCTAGTTACTCTCAGTCATAGAGTTTCATAGAATTTTAGGAAATACTAAGAATGTTGTAACTGGACCCCACAGTGAAAGCCTTTTTTTAAAGTGCTCATTTAGTTATTTTTTAAATTTTTACTCTTTTTTTTGAGGAGGGGGATAATTAGATGTTATTTTTTCAATTTTATTTTAATAGAGGTACTGGGGATTGATTCCAAGACTTCGTGCATGCTAAACACGCACTCTACCACTGAGCTATACCCACCCCCCAGCGCCTCCCTGATCCCCCTCCCTGCCCAGTGGAAGCCATAATCAGTGCATATATACAATACATAACTTTTTTTTTCCTGATTGGAAAGAAGGTTTTACTTTTAGGAGCCAAGTTTTTATTGTGAGGGAAATCAAGGGATTCCAACAGTTTCAATAGGCCACAAGGATTCTATTTTGGGTGGTTGGAATATCCTTGGGATCCTAACATTTCATGATTAAATCTTCTATGCAAATGTTGTTAAAGCAGAAGCATTGCCTATTTACCTTCTAATTTCCATTAGGCATCCAATGCATTGGAGGAGCTCTGCTTCACAATTATGCGGATTCTACCAAAGCCCCAGGTAAGGTTCAAAGAGTGTTTAATTGTAGGCAAAAAAAAAAATTGTTCAGTGATATCTTGGAATGCCTCCTGGAAGAAAATATTTAGAAAAGCATGCCAAGAGGAGCTAGAAGAGCATAAACTGACTTTGGATAAGAAACAAATACTTCATTTTCTCTGATGCCTGAGAATTTAGAATCATATTAATGGAGTTTGCAATCATCTAATTGGAAAATCACATGTTGCCCTGAAGTATAAGATGTGTTCTAGTTCTGATGAGGGAAATTTGGGGTCATTTTGGCTCTTTTTCTTTCCCTGATTCATACTACAGCTGGAGCACAGACACATTTTTCTAAGCTGGGAGGTTGGGACAATGTACTTTGTCAGAGAGGACATTGAGAATGCAAAAAAAGCAGACAATATCATCAATGTCAGGAAAATTATATTTTTCCTGTGATGTCTTGGTTTTTTATTAAAATTATTATTTGATTTTTCTGGAAGAACTTTTTGTCTTGAAGTGAGGCTATAGTATGGGAACTTGAAAAATGGCATAATGTACCTCAGTTTATATTCTGTATCTTATAGGTGAGCTTGTTTTAAAACTCCCTTATTAAAAATAAGAACCACAGGTTTAGAAGTATATTTTTAATTAGCAATGTAATCTATGATCACTGGTACATTCTGACTTCCATACTTTCATGTACAGTAATTCTAAGAAAACAGAATATTTTGAAAGCATGTTTTCTGAAACAAAATGTGTTTACAACTGTATTTTTTTCTGATGTTTTAAATGATGACACTTTCCAAAACACTTAATTGACTTTTTTCCTAATTAAGATAAAACAAATGACAATGGTGTTTATCCATGAGTTTCATTTTATATTAAAAGCAAATGAGAACAAAAAAGAACAGCAAAGAAATGAATGATATGTCTCATTCTTTAAGTCAGATTTTTGGAGGGAGAGAGGAATGTAGAAAAGTTTGTTAAAGAAAGCAAAAACAACCCATAATCTTATTACTTAGTGATAACAACTACAAATATTTTGATATAATTCCTTCTAGTCTTTTTTCTCTGAATATTCTATCATGCGATTATATTAGAATTTCCCATTCTACCACTACTGAACATTTAGGCTGTTTCCAATTTTTTTACTCTTATGAATAATGCTGTAGTAAAGATCTTCATTCATACTTTTATTTATAAACAGTTTTTAATTAATTGCCCATTTATTTTTAGAGCAATATATGCTTAACCAATTTCAGTTCTATATATTATACATTACATATGTGTCACATGTTTTAGAAATTAAATAATAAATCTTAAAATTTTATACTATATATTTGTAATATATATACACAATATCTCTTTATGATTTTATAATATAATATAATGATATTTATATATCTCCATTTTTAACAGGAAACAGATGAAAAAGATAATACCAAAAGGGTAAAGTGATTTTCATAAATATATACATTAAAAAATAATAAAGGAAACCACTAATCATCTATAGTAAAACTCACTACTTTTTTTTTTTAACAGTTCTTATTTCATTATTCAAAGACACGAAAATTGGGCAATTCAAATGTTGTGGTAAGTTGTAAAATTACTTCTTATCAGTAATCACTAGTATTTTTTTTTAAATCCTGTTTCTGTACTTTCTCTCTTAAAGGTAGATCAAAATTCATGTTTTTTCTTAAAAAGTGGATGGATGAACAAATGGAATGCAATATGTATTATACATTTACTTTATATCTCAATAACTACAAATACATTAAATTCATTTATTCATTCAACAGTTATTTACTGAGTATCTACTGTGTGCCAAGCACAATTCCAAGTGCTAGAAATATAGCAGTAAATGTCATGGAATTTACATTTTAGAGGCAAAAAAGCAGATGATTAAGTAAGACAAATGTTTTGGATAGTGATTAGTGCAAGGGAAAAATATTTATCCAAAGTCATTATAAGAATTATTTTAAAAGATGATTGTCAAAAATGTAAGTAAATATAACAAGAAGTATCCACTTGTATTCCTAGGAGCTCCTTCTTTGTAACTAGGCATTTAATTTGAGAATTTATTCTCTAAAATTAGCCAGATAGCAATAACCTGAATTCAGTTCACTTCTAAATTGTGTGGTTTTAGTGGTAGTTTTTCTTTTTATATTCATAGATTTAAAAAATACTTAGCAACCTACTTTGCTGTTTCAACCTAGAATATTTAATAATTATTTGATTATAATATTCCTTCTAAACTTGTGACTCACTGCCATGGACCAATTTATAGCATGAGAAATGTAGTTATTTTAAATGTGTGTTTCCCCGTAGGAAAGTAACTGTAACCTTAAACTCAGCTTTAAATGTTTGTCCCATTGAATATTCTTACATGTGAGGAGTTGCAAGTTAGGTTATGCTGACTTTAAACCAAATACAAGTTGAATTGATTAACAAAGAACCATTATATGGGGCTTACAGTAATCCAGTTGATGAATGAACTTAATATTTGTGAGTAGGTTCAGTTCAAGCCTTGCCTTTAAAATGAAACTGTATCAAGTAGACACATGTCTCAAATGTGCTTTTGTTTTCTTCTGCTTGGCATCTATACTTCTTGAGAAAATGTATCTTAGTCACATTTTTCACTATCGATGATGCATTCTCATTTTTTGTGTTCCCTGTTGTCTTGTTCCATATGTTCAGTTTTAAATGAAACATATATTTTATAAAGGAGATTACTGGATGTGTGTACAGTGTAATTTTCCAGATAAACATGTTAATGATGGAAAGCTGGTTCTCCTAGAGTTCGTTTCATCTGTCCCAAGTCATTCTAAGTAAATCTGGAAGCGGACAGACTGCTTCATCCAGGCGGGGTTTTCCTTGTTGGCAGATGATGATGGAGCTCAGGCCCTCAGGAAAGAGCTTTGTCAACAGAATGACCAAGATCCCGGCACAGAACTGCCAACTTTTATTCCATCTCTTGGCTTATTCACCACGGCTGATTGAAATGCTCGCAAAGGACTCTTAGATCACATCTTTCTTGTTGTTTGTTGTCTGGAGCAAGGATAGTGGGTAAAACAAAACAAACAAGTAGGAAGCCATCTTTTTGCCCAATGCTGAGAAGCCTTTGTGCTCATCATGTGTGTGTTCGTGTCTCTCAGTCGTCTGTCCTGCATCCGCTGCTGCAGCTCGTTCCTCAACTGCATGAGAGAAGAATGAAGAGATTCAAAGTGGACGTATGTAACACAAACTGCATGCTCGCTCTGCCAGTCTGTGTGGGACAGCCCTTTCTGCTAATTCCCAATTGTGTTGGTTTATAAGATCTTCTGGATAAGCCTCACGTAGCACCCAAGTAGCCCACAGAACAGCATCTGCTTGCAGATGTGTTTTCACACTCAGGAAAATGAGAACTGTCCCCCTCCCCATAGTATGTCCCTTCTAACTCCAGCTGTGGGCCGTGGAGAAAGCTGGAATTAGACTTCCTTCCAAGAGTCATGACCCTCCCAGTGAGGAAGCCTATTGATTCTTGGTTTAAGTCAGGACATGGCAGTGTGCCTAGTCGTTAGGTAGGAAGAGGACAAAAGATTAAGGACCAATTTACTGCCCCTCTGTGTACAGAACTGCAAATGGCTGGGATGGCTTTCTATCAAAGTATTAAAGTGATGGTAAGAGTAAGGCTCACAAAGTAAATAGTTCAGAAATTAAATGTAGGTATTTTGTTTTTTCCACAATTAACAAAAATACAGCCCAAATCCAGCGTCTATGTTTAAAATGAATGTTACTGAGATGACACATTTTTAAATTAGAAATTATGGCATTTTTATTGTCTTTTAAAAATAGTCCTAACTCTTTCAATGATGAAAGTTTCTAGGCATTATTTTTATGTACTGCCTTACATTGTTACAGCGCCTTGTAGTTTTCAGTCTTGTATTATGTCATTTTATTCTTGACAACTCTGTTGGTGCTTATGCAAGTATAGTTATCCCTGGTTTACAAAAAGGAAAACAACTCAGAATAGTTAAAGGAGTTTCTCAAGATCATAGCAGTAAAATGAGGTTAGAGATTACAACAGTCTCTTCACTTCCAGTCTAGGCAATTTTTTTTTCCACTATGCTGTCCCCTTTATAGTCTAATCTTGACTACTTCTATTATTTCATTGTTAATTTTTTCTTAATTTATATACCATATTAATTTAATTCTACTAGCAAAAGTTTTCAAATACTTGAAAAAACACATACAGTTTAGGCAAATAAATTCCTCAAAACTTATTTTTATGTTCACATTTTCCTCCCTAAATTCTTCACATTCTTAAACTAAGCTTCCATCAAGGAAGGCAATACTGCTGCCAGCTTGAATGAGAAGTGTAAGAGGAATTGTAGTAGCCCCTTAAAATTTTAGAATTTCCAGTATTTAGAAAAACCAAATAAGTTGTCCTTGAACCTTCTAGAAGTGGTACGTGCTTTTCTGGATTAACATTTACTTTCTGAAGCGGTTGCTTGACTTATGAATAATGTAAGATTTTAATTTAAAGATGCAGTTTCTTAAAATATACCAACAAATGATTAGTTTACTATAAAACTTCAGTGTCATTATTTATTTACTCAGGTGTTGTGGCCAGTGGCCAGTTTGGTACTTTGAATGTTCCATCTTGAGTGAGACTATCTATATTTCCAGGTAACTAGCTGAAAATATGAATTCTGACTTGGTAATAATATCTTGATGGACAAATGACAACTCCTAAAAGTATTCAGCAGCAAGCCAAGTTTCCTAGCAATCTTTGAAAGAAATGAATGTAAAATATGAATTAAAAAAATTATTATAGAGTATTAGCTTTTCTGGGGTTAAGTCACCTAATTTTAATACACATTTTTGATAGTGAAGTATTTTGCACTCTTAAAGAAAATGAGTTTTCAGATCTCAGTGCATTCAAACACTTTTCTTAAGTTTTGTTTACTAGACATTCTCACTTCCATCCCCATAACTTTTTAGCTCTACCGCCCAAATTCTTTCATATACTGTCTTTTACTTATCTTATCTTACTTAGATATACTTATCTCCAGTGATAAGACTAAAAAGATCTGTATGTTTGAGTTTCAAAGTTTTAAATTTTGGCACAGTTTGAGTTACATTTTATCCTACTTCTTTTTTTTCTGTTTCGTATAAAGTACATAACTGTTCTTATATAACCATATAAATACGTAGTTTCTATGTGTACATTTTTAAATATTAAAAATTTCAATCTTTAATTTAGGGGATTTATCATCAGCATGAGAATTAATGATAAAATGTTGAGAATTTAAGACACATTTATTGTAAAGCAAGGATTTCAGAATTTTAATAGATGTCAGAGCCATTGCTTAGATATAAAAGATATGATTGTGTTTATATTATGGAATACTTGTAAAAGGTCTTATTGACAAATTTCATGAATGCCATCCTGATACTTTTATAGGTAGTTATCAAAAATAGGAAGCTTTAAGAACCAATTTTATGGAAATCATAAAATGTTAAATATTTTTTCCATTAAGTTTGAAATGAAATATTTTGAGAAAAGAAACACTTCAAAACGTACTCATTATGAATAATTAGTTTGTTCCTATTTGGTATTTTAAATATAATCATATTGGGAAAACCACTTTGAAGTTTTATTGAATAAATATAGTTCATCCAAATTGTCCTTCAATTTCAATTTAAGTTCCTAAAGATATATTGTATATTTTAATTCTGACACAATTCTATTTTATAATTTAGCCTGTTCATTTGTTAGCACATACAATATGTATTTTAAAGAAATTATTTCATCTTAGCAAAATTCTGAAGGGATATTTTAAATATAGTTAATTATCCATTAAATGACTTCTGTCTACTTATTGATGAATATATGAACAACTGGCAAACTTCCTGGAAATAGAATCTGTTAGACTGGTAAAGAAATTATCTCAAAATACAACATTCTGATGATACTGCTAGTATCACTGAAAATTCTTCAGTTATAAATACAAAGATTACTTATTGGTATGAATTATATACTCAAGTCCTTGATTCCCTCTTTATTTAATTATGATAGGTGAAACTAACTGTACTCTCGAGAAGCGTTTGCACTTATTTTTACTGTTATTTGGTTTGTAATGACCTTATTTTCCCTTCCAGGAAGAATTCCGAGGTCCTATGGCAAGCCGAAGTCACGGATACTTCTTATTCAGGGTATGCACATACTACATATTTTTAAAAAAAATCAATCAACATCAGCATTGAAAAATACCATCACTGTGCATTGATTTACATTAACTCGTGAATTGCAATTAAGTTTTGGAATTTATCTAAAGGTATTTGACGTCAGGTGTTATAGTCTGCAATTCACTTCTGTCACCACCTTACTTCTTTAATATTATGGCATCTCTGATCTCTTCTCTAATCCACTGCTCACGTTTGTAAATACCTCAGATGACATTCACCTATTTCACAGTTTAGTTCCATAACATTTCATATGCAGGAAATGACTGTATTAAAGATGCATTACTCCTTAAGTTCCAATACAATATTTAGGGAAAGAAGCATTAGCCAATGAATTATTTAGCTAAGGAATTTCAACTTTATTGTAAAGTCTAAGGGGAGCTATATGGTAAGACTTGCATCTTGGAAACTAATTCTAACACCAAATCAGAGAATGGATTGAAGGAGGAAGACTAGATGAGGAAGAAATATTACCACTCATTGAGCTCATTAGGCTGCGTTCTGTGAAAATTAACTTCCCTCCCTAGTTACTGATTTGTTTCTGACTTCTTCTTTTCCAGCCACGCAATGGAAGAAGGTCAGAAGGTTATATTTAAAATGGTATGTGCTTCACAATTCAACTCAGTTTGAAATTTTTTGTCATTTTTCAGATCTTCACAAAGTAAACTGTGCTCAGTGTATTTCTATTACTTAATTGCATGTATACATTAATATTCTATATAAATACTACAAATATAGGGGCTGTGAGGACTTCGTGTGATGGAAAATACTAGTGTTTTAGGGGCAGATTTGCTTTGCCCGTGTCATGCGTTCCTCACACTGTGATGCAGTAGTCATCATCAATTTTGCAGACATTGACCTGATCATCATTTACTGTGCAAGAAGAATATGTTAGGGATCATGTTCTCATTGTGCTTATCAGTGTCTGTAACAGTAGGCCAGAACTTACAGCCGAAAGCATTTCTGTCTTCCAAATGACCTGTATTCAAAACTCTGTATAAGAGCTGTGATTTACCATTACTAGAGAACTAAGAAAATGTAGAAAGACAAGAGAGCATAACTTCTACTATGGGACTCCCAGAGTTTCCACGTCAATGCTGGAGATATAGTAGACACTTAGTAGCTATTGAATGGCCCTACATGTTTAATAAATATGAATTTTAAAGTTAAATGCAAATACACACTGAAAAATTTATATCACAGAAATAAAAAATATTCTAGTAACTTTATGCAGTCCTAAATACAGCTTCTATGCTGAATGTATTTTTGCAAATATTTCATTCATATCATTTATCTCAACCTTAAATACATATTTAGCAAAAGAATGTTAAAATGCTTAATATTTTCTCATAGAAACAAAAATCAAAACACACTTTCTATCTAAAGAAGATGACATCAAAATTATACAATAGCTAGAAAATGAAGACAATGAAAACACTGCATTGTAATACTTATGGGACTCTGACAAAGCCATATTCTGTGGAAAATTCAAACACTTTTTACACTTTAAACATGGTCAAGCAAGAAAGAGTGAGTGAATTAAGAATTTAAGTCAGTAAGTTAAAAAGAAAACAACATAGTGAACTTCAGGAAGCAGAGGATAAAAATTATAAAATGAAAGATGAAATTAATTAATTATAGTAAAAAGCAAAAATTGAAAAATAAACCAAAAATCTGATTCTTTGGAAAAAAAAGAAATATACTAGCCTAATGAGCCTAACCTAATCTATAAAAAGGGAGCAACCATATATATATACACAAAAATACAAATGAAAAGAGGGAGATTAGAGCAGATACAGAAAAAATGGGAATCACAAGAGTACTTTGCAAATCTCTGTGCCAAAAAGTTTGAAAACCTAGATAAAATGGAGGATTATATAATAAAGTAGGTGCTACCAAAATTGACCTCAGAAGAGAGAAATAAATCTAAATACTGATGGTCATGGGAGAAGAAAAATGGAGAACATTACCTAGAAACTCTCCCCTCAAAAATACTAGGCCAAGAGATTTTTTGTATTTTTCCACCTCAGAGAAGGAAGAAAAAAACCTCAAAATATTTTTTATGAAGTCAGCAAATACTGATAACAAAACCTTACATTAGTATGAAAAAGGAAACTGTAGGTGAATCCTGTTTATAAACATCAGTGCAAACATTTAAAATAGCAATATATTGAAAAATGATATGACCCCATGAAGTGAACTTCATTCCAGCAACTAAGATCGTTCAACATTAGGAAGCCTATTAAAATCTTTTCACTATTAGAAAAAAAATTATGCAATCAACTCAATACAGGCATCCCTCTGTTTTATTGCGCTTTGCTTTATTGCACCGCAGATACAGTGTTTTTTACAATTTGTAGTTCTGTGGCCTGTGTTGAGCAAGTCTATCAGCACCATTTTTTCAACAGCATTTCCTCACTTCATGTCTTATGTCACATTTTGGTAATTCTTGCAGTATTTCACACTTTCATTATCATTCTATTTGTTATGATCTGTGATCTGTGATCTTTGATGTTACAATTGTAATTGTTTGGGGTCGCCATAATCCACGCCCATGTAAGACGACAAACTTGATAAATGTTGTGTGTGTTCTGCCTGCTCCAGTCCTCATCCATTCCTCCATCTCTCCCCCTCCCTTTGGGCCTCCCTATTACCTGAGACACAACAATATTTAAATTAGGCCAAATTAATAACCCTACAGTGGCCTCTAAGGTCTAAAGTGAAAGGAAGAGTTGCATGTCTCTCATTTTAAATCAAAAGCTAGAAATGATTAAGGTTAGTGAGGCAGGCATGTCAAAAGCTGAGACAGGCCAAAGGCCAGGCCTCTTGAGCCAGTTATCCAAGTTGTGAATGCAAAGGAAAATTTCTTGAAAGAAATTAAAAGTGCTACTCCAGTGAACACATGAATGATAAGAAAGCAAATTAGCCTTATTGCTCATATGAAGAAAGTGTCGCGGTCTGGGCGGAAGATCAAACCAGCTACAACAGTCCCTTGAACCAGACCCTAATCCAGAGCAAGGTCATAACCCTTTTCAGTTCTCTGAAGGCTGAGAGGTGAGGAAGCTGCAGAAGAAAAGTCTGAAGCTAGCAGAGGTTGGTTCATGAGGTTTAAGGAAAGAAGCTTCTCTTCAAGTTGAAGCAGCAAGTGCTGATGGAGAAACTGCAGCAAGTTATCCAGGAGATTTAGCTCAGATCGTTCATGAAGGTGGCTACATTAAACAACAGATTTTTGATGCAGACAAAACAACTTTCTATTGGAAGAAGATGCCATCTAGGACTTTCAAAGCTAGAGAGAAGCCTCATAGCTTCAAAGAACAAGCTGACTCTCTTTTTAGGAGCTAGTGTGGCTGGTGACTGTAAAAGGAAGCCAGTGCTCATTTACCATCCTAAAGATCCTAAGGCCCTTAAGATTATGCTGAATCTATTCTGCCTGTTCTCTGTAAATGGAGCAGCAGAGCCTGGATGGCAGCACATCTTATGAAACATGGTTTACTGACTGTTTTAAGCCCAGTGTTGAGACTTTCTGCTCAGAAAAAAAGATTCCTTTCAAAATATTACTGCTAATTGACAATGTACCTGGTCACCTAAGGGATCTGATGGAGATGTTAACACAGCGCCCCATGGATCAAGGAATACTTTAGACTTTCAAGTTTTTATTAATTAAGAAATACATTTTGTAAGGTGATAGCTGCCATAAACAGTGATTCCTCTGGGGAATCTGGACAAAGTAAATTGAAAATCTGCTGGAAAGGATTCATCTTTCTAGACGCCATTAAGAACATTTATGATTCATGGGAAAAAGTCAAAATATTAATGGGAATTTGGAAGAAGCTGATTCCAACCCTCATGGCTGACTTTGAGGGATTCAAGGCTTCAGTGGAGGAAGTAACTGCAGATGTGGTGGAAATAGCAAGAGAACTAGTTAGAAGTGGAGCCTGAAGATGTGACTGAATTGCTGCAATCTTATGCTAAATCTTTAACAGATGAGGAGTTGCTTCTTAAGGCTGAGTGGAGAAAGTGGTTTCTTGAGATGGAATCTATTCCCGGTGAAGATGCTGTGAAGATTATTGAAATGACAATTTTAATGACAAGGATTTAGAATATTACGAAGCTTAGTTGATAAAGCAGTTGACAGAGTTTGAGAGGATTGACTCTAATTTTGAAAGAAGTTCCACTGTGAGTAAAATACCATTAAACAGCATTGCATGCTACAGAGAAATTGTTCCTGAAAGGAAGAGTCAAATGATGCCGCAAAATTCATTGTTATCTCATTTTAAGAAATTGCCACAGCCACCCCAGCCTTCAGCAACTAACACCCTGATCCCTCAAGGATTCATCAACATTGAGGCAAGACCCTCACCAGCAAAGAGCTTATGACTCAGCAAAGGTTCAGATGCTGGTTAGCAATTTTTAGTAAGACAGTGTTTTTTAATTAAGGTATGTACATTAGTTTTTTTTAGACAAAATGCTATTACACACTTAATAAACTATTGTATAGTATAAACATAACTTTTATATGCACCAGGAGACCAAAAAGTTTGTGTGACTTGCTTTATTGCAAAATTTTCTGGGACCGAACCTGCAATATCTGAGGAATGCCTGTAGAAGCTTTTGGTAAAGTTCCACATAAATTTCTGATATTTTCAAAGAAGATCCTATAGAAAGAGATGAATCTTTATTAACAATATTTATTTAATGGTCTCAAACAAAGTCAGTAGAAGGCTTGATAGTAAAACATTTTGGAGCATTTCTATTAACATTAGAAACAAAACAAGGATGCTTTGTCCCCTTTTATTTCATGTAGTTCTAATGCATTAACCAATTCAGTTAGATGAGAAAGAAATAAAAGTTATTAATATTGGAAAACTGAAGAACAAATTTAATGTGCTCATAGGGCATAATTAGGAACTTGAATTTTCAAATTATATTTAGTATTAACTAACGTTTTGACAAAGGCATATTATGTTCACATTAAGAACATGAGCAAACATATTCCTAATTTGTTCTTTTTTCAAGGAACTAAGAATAAAAGTTGATGGAAAAGAAACTATCTTTTATAATATTACAAATGTAGAGGCATTTACAAAATGTGAACAAAAACAGTTTAATACTAAATGGTAAAAATGTCATGATTATAATACCAAATTAAGTGTTAGAGTGGTCATAAATGTGAAGTGGAAAATAATCCATGGTTTGATCAAGTTAGTAAAAAATACCTCTGAAATTGTGAAAAAGAGCTTTATTTGGGTTGTTTCCCACATTAGGGCCCACATGTGCTAATTCACTGAAGATTTCAATTTTATTTTGTCAACAGAGAAATAGTTCAATAATCATTTTTCTTTGTTTTGCTCACCTGATTATCTGAGGTCTTACTCTGTCCTTATAACTTATATTTAGAATGTGTTTAGATGTAGAATAGGATGATTTAATTGCAGATACCCAAAGAATAACTGCAACATTTTATTCATAAATCTTATTGGTATCAATGAGCTTCAGGAAACCTCTTTTATGTAGTTAAATAAAACAAAACTTTGGAAAATATAGGCATACAGAAAAAGTGCTTCATCAGGGAGAGATTAAATGACAGTTAAAAATATGCAGATTAAAGAATAGCTGAGAAATACTTCAGATGTCAATTTTATCATACGTGACAAAGTATTTATAGAAATGTCTATCTACAAGGAAGTATATATAGATTATATTTATACTTGTTACATACATACATTCACATACCATTTATATTTGACTCTAAATTCAGTTTTTTTTTTAACAGGATGACAACTATTTTCTGCAGAAGCAATGCCATGGAATACAAAATGTACTGACATTTTTTTCTTCTCAAAAACTATCCTTGCTAAGTTTACAGATTTGAGAATCCCTGTGTTGTAAACATTCTCCGTAAACGTTGAGATTGTAAATGTTTAATGTGTTGAAAATTTAAAAAAGCATCTTAAAATATTTTTTCTTAGTGCTGTAATGATAAATAGTGTGTAATAAATCTGTAAATAATAATGTTCCTTAGATCCCTGAAGCTTCTGATGGAACTCGTATACAATGCTCTTTTGTTATTTTTATTAAAGGCGCTTAGTAGAGAGTTGAGTTTTAATGAGGTATTTTAGTTTATCTTATTTGGATTTCATCAGTGACAAAATCACCAGCTCTTATAAAATACCAGAATGCCCAATAGGTGTAATCTTAGAATGTGAGTACTAACTAAAACTATACTAGTTGGAGGATTTGGCCATGATTCATCCAAAAGTCCAATAAGCAAGTTCTGATTTACATACTGTAAAATAGATGTCTGACTGCTACAAACAAATCATGAGACCAGCTTTTTCTACCAAGTAATAGTATTCAGTTTATCTTAAAATAAGTTGTTTCATCCTGCAACATCTGAAAGGCAACCAGCCTTGTCCATTACCAGAAAGAAAACAACCTTACTCGTAGGGGATCATGAACACAGTGGGTGAACTTTTTACATCAAACCATGTTTAATGGACACAGTGAACCTCAGATGGATGTTGAAATTATCTCCCTTCAGGTTCCCCTGAGTTTTCCCTTGCAACCCTATCTCTTGGATAACCACCTTCTCTACCAAGCAGGTTGCTGGCTGATTAAAGAAGGGCGGCTCTCCGTGTGGGTAGCATTAGGTTTATATTCTTCAGAGTAGAGTATCTAATAAGCCTTTGTCTTACTAACATTGACCACTAACTATAGCTTAAATTATGCCTTTTACTAACAAAATCCCTGAATTTCAATTCTTATCAACCCATGTGAAGAACATAAGAAGGAGCAGAAGAGAACAAAAAGTACACCCTTTTTAAAAAAATGAATTAACTCAAAATGAAGCTCTTGCCATATGCATTGAATCCATAGCTCAGCCCCCAAAGCTTCCTCAAGTTTGGAAGTATAATTAATCAGATTGGCCTCTTCCCGGCTTTTCCAATGTAATGTTTTAATGCTCAGAAATTTCCAGCAAAGAAAATGGCCATGAATAAGGGAATGGTTATATAAAAGGATTTACATCTTTGCCACGGAATTATTATGTAGTCGTTCGTTGATACAAATTAACTTGGCGGAGCAGATTCCACCATCTTGGTATTGTACGTGAAAAAAAAGTCATGTTCCAGAGAGAATGTGTGTCATATGAACGCATTTTTATAAAGCATGCAGTTACTAACAACCATACATGATTTCTGGGCCAGAGAGAAAAAGCATGAAGGATCCACAGCAGATCCTAATATTGGCTAATATTGGGGAGGGCGTGGGGGTGGGCAGGGGGAGCACAAATGTATTTTTTTAAGATTCAGTACATACTGTATTTTTTCAAGATTCAGTACATATTTACATAATGCTTATCATGCACCAGTCATGATTTTAAGTGTTTTATAAATATTAATTCATCTAATCCCCTGACAACTACCTGATAACATGTTCTTTTATTATCCCCACTCTATAGATGGGAAAACTGAGGAGCAGAGAATTAAGTAATTATTCAGGCAAGCCCAGTAAGTGATAAAGCTGAAATTCAACACCAGAGTTGGCTCACAGGCATGATGTCTGCTGTCTGTATAAAGGGGGATGGTGGGACTCCAGGCAATTTTTACTTTTTTCATGGACTTTGGTATATTATTTAAATGTTTTATGATAAGTATGAACTATTTATTCAATTGGAAAGAAATAAAATGTTATTTGCCCCCCTTAAAAAATGAATTACATTGATGAGATGGGGACTTGAGACAGAAAGGGCCTCCTGCTCTAAAGCCATAAGTGCATAATAGGGCAACGAAAACATTAGCTAGTGGTGTGTAATGCAACCGGCCTGGATTTTGGATTGTCAGAATAAGAAAGGGGCTTCACTGCTAATTTAAGCAGCAATTCCCAGGGCCTCTCAGAAATCTAGAGAGACTTAGGCCTCTTACATTTTGGGGTGTTCCCATAATATTAAATGGAAGGAGGAGGGGAAGAGGAAGGGGGAGGAGGAAGAGAAGAAAATATACCAAAACAAGATTATAAAAATGGTGGGATGTTTAAAATAGTTTATGTTTAAACACATTCATATCACACAAGTACAACAAAACATATAGGCTATTAGGAGTGTAGGATTTGTATTAACCGAGCACTACAGATGGAATGGTCCAATGCTGAGCCCAAGTTTAAAATTGGATCACTAAAAACATGTTTTCCCCTTCTTTTCCAAATCCTATTATATCTCTATGACCACGCATATAACTATTTGGCAATAACACTAGATGTTTTCCTCATGTTGCTGGCAGCTCCCAGTAAACATCCTTTCCTTACTCTAAACACCAAGGAACCTAACTGTCTAGGTTTTTTACATAAAGATAGAGCTCCTGCCTCCAAAGGCAGAGGGTTTTTAAGATGTGGGTGGAGAGCCATTTGAGAATCTGGTCCTTAAAAACACACACACACACAAACACGCACACACACACACACACACCTGACCCAAAACTCACGCAGACTGCAACACCAGATGTGCTTAACAACAGAGGCTATACCCCCTATGCCGCCCGCCGCCCTCAGCCCCTGGGAGAGCAGGGGCCTAGTAGAAATCTTCCAGGTTGGAGTCTGGCTCTGAGCCTTGCTGGTTCTGAACGTGACCAGCACCAGTATCAACACCACGAACAGGAGAGGCACCGCTTGGGGTACATGCCCAAGACCCAGGTGCGTCAGTACCCACAGCCACCTCCTGGGCCACGCCCCCGCGTTGCCTGGCAACAGAGCGGCGCCAAGCGCACAGCGTGAGAGGCTCTTGTTCTCCCCTGCCCCTCTCGATGGGCGGCGGGAACCGCTAGAAGCGCGGCGGGCTTCCTTGCCGCCTTGAGGGGCATCCGAGTCAGGAGTCCCCGCAAGGGGTAGGACGACGCCTGTGCGTGAGAAGCGAGGCGGAACACCATGCAGGTGGGAGTCGCGTCTGCCCTGGGGCATCTCAGCGGGGCCCCGGCTGGGCCTGAAGCTGAGCACTGTCGGGAGGGCGGACTACAGGGGTTAGGTTCTAACGTTTGTTTTTGGTAAGAGCTAAACTTTTCGTGCGTCTCTGTCACGATTTGCTAGAAATTCAAATTAACCCTAGGAGAACGCCATTTTTCCAAATGAGTGTTTTGATTAAGACTTGGGTTTGTCGCTGGAGGAAGCTTTCCAACTGCATCTCACACCTGAATCCTGGAAATCTTAACTGCAGCACTATTTCTGACTTAAGAAATAGACCAGTAACTTTAGCCCAAGTGTAATTCAATTTAAGTATCCTGCCCCACCACATTAAAAAAAGATCAGATTTGCCTCATATTTGCCTCTGTCTTGATAAAGACCAGCAGTCCCTGGGGTTTCTCCGATGTGATCACAAAACTCAGACTTCCAGTAATTCCTAAGAAGGCTGTTCCTCTGTCTAAAGCTGCCTTACTAACTAGAAGCCTGTGCTTTCATTTTTTATCGGATTATAATTATCTACTTCTGACTTCAGACACAGCTTTTTCCCACCTGCTCCCCCAAATTAAAACCTTTATTTTTCTTGTTTTACATATTTAGTTTTGGTAATTGTGTATGCTGTATAACTTATTAACACGTTTTGAACATAAATTACGTATAATTTTTATGCATATTCCTTTTGTGTTAATAATAGGTTCCTAGCAAGAACGTTTTATTCACTATGTAAAAACATTGCAGATTAGTCCTGATCTCGCATCTGCTCTTCAAGAAATAGCTTGAAGTGTAATTGAGAGTGAAGGCAACAGCATATTAATCTTTGTTCATTGATTGATTCAACAGCCTGTTATTTGGTGCTTATGTGTAGTTATGGACTTGTTCTAAAAGAGCTTACTATGGGGGAGTAAGAGGGGGTCAGATTTACCTATTTATGTCATGATAAATGCCATAATACTTTTATCAAATAGATTATTGTGCCTATTTCTGTTTTTACAATTTCATAGATGATTTCTAAAAGCAAAGGGAAAAACAGAATATAGAGCATTTACTATTAAATCCTATTGCAACTAACTCCTAGATCAGTTAAGGAATAGCAGCTAGAGAGGTATGAATAAAACCATAAGTATTGTGATGTCATGAATATCAAGAAAGTGTTTCAGCAAGAAAAGAATGACAAATTCTCCCCAGTTCTGCTTAAGGGATCAAATACAATGACTATCCACTGAAAATAACAACATGGAGCTCTTAGGTGACTTCAGAACAATTTCAAAAGGAATGCTAGAGATAGAAGTCAACTTTTTGAGCAGTTTGAAGAATGAACGGGAGGTAGAAGTGGTTACAGCATATATAGACAATTACTTTAAGAAGTTTGAGTAGGAAGGAGAAAAGAGAGGATGGTAAGGGATGTGAAGTTCAGGGATGATTTTTTTTTAAGGCAATTGCTGGATATTTTGATGATCGTGGGCTAGATTATTTGGACCAACTCTTCTACTGAGTAGAGGTAAAAATTTTGGCAAGAATGTAAAACATACCTCTTTAAGCGCATCCGAGGTAACATAATAGTAAACTACGAGACCAAAATCAAAGGGAAAGTAGACAGTTAGGTGAATGGATTTCCAGAGCTTTAACTCCACTTTTACCCCAAGGATATCATAGCAATTTGCATTTTGGTCCTGGGTATAATCACAGGGTTAGAAGGAACCAAAAGGTATGATTCATCAAAGTATGGGAGACTAATAAGAGTATGAGCCAGAGATAAAAACTCATGTCTAAGGAAATTCAGGGAAAGTTGTCTTGATGCTTAGCAGGGGAGAAAAAAACAAAAAGAAATAAAACCTATCCCAAAGAAGTTGTGGATCAGACAATGTTCACATAGATTGAACCTAAGGCATGTTGTCTGAGTGGTTCAACAAACTTCAAACTGCAAATTTGTTACAAGTTAATTATATATTGTAGTGCTCATAAGTGCTTGGAAGAAATAATGAATCTTCTGTGGAGGAATACATCTTTATTTTAGGTCTCAAAGAATTCTTGCAGATACATTCTCAAGGACATTAAGCAGAAGTCAGTCAAAAGTAATCAAGCACACAAGGAAATAGGGCACTATAAACATCAACCAACAAAAACAGACTGGCAGAGACTTCAATTATCTGAACGATTAGAAACAGGTTATAAAACCTCTATGCTTACTATGTTTAAAAAACAAAAAACCAAATTGGAATTATCTTCAAGGAGTAGGAAACTATAAAAAGTGACCTTAAAAATTTGATGAAGACATTTGTATACACTGCAATGAATAATCAAGAAAATTAAGAAAAACAATTCCATGTATAATTGCATCAAAAAGAATAAAATATTTAGGAATAAGTGTAACCAAGGAGACAAAAGACTTGTACACCAAAAACTACAAAACATTGCTGAAAGAAATTTAGGCATAAATAAGTAGAAAAGCAGCCCATGCCCATGGATTGGAAGACTTAATATTGTTAAAATGTCAATACTTCCTAAAGCAATCTATAGATTCAGTGTAATCCCTATCAAAATCCCAATGACTTTTTTTTTTGTAGAAATAGAAAAACCCATCCTAAAATTCACATGAAATCTTAAGAGACCCCAAATAGTCAAAACAGTGTTGAAAAAGATGAACAAAGTGGAGGACCCACATGTTCTAATTTCAAAATACACTACAAAGCTGCAGTAGTCAAAACAGTCTGGTTGTGGCAGATTAAACAAACATACAAGTCAATGGGATAGAACAGAGAGCCCAGATGGTAGCCCTCACATATACAGTCAAGTGATTTTCAACAAGCGTGCCAAGACTGTTCAAGTGAAAGAATAGTCTTGACAAAATGTGTTGAGAAAGCTGGATATCCATATGCAAAAGAATGAAGTTGGACTCCTAACTTACATTACAAGCAAAAATTAACTGAAAAGCCATCCAAGGCCTAGATTTAAGAATTAAAACTATAAAACACTTAAAAGAAAACATAGGGAGAAATTGCTGTGACATTGAATTGACAATTATTTCTTGGATATGACACCAAAAACAAAGGTAATTTAAAAAATAGATAAATTGGACTTCATCAAAATTTAAAATATTTATGCATCAAAGGCCACTATCAAAAGAGTGAAAAGACAACCCACAGAACGGGAAAAAATATATGAAAATCATATAATTATAAAGGATTAATATTTATAATATATAAACAACTCCTAAAATTCAGCATCAAAAGACAAACCAACTAATTAAAAGTAAGCATATGAAAAGATACTTCAGATATGTCATTTGGAAAATGCAAATTAAAACA